TATGTGCAGGTTCGGGGAATAAACAACTGCAACCAGAATTTTATTTAATTTAATGGAAATCTCAACAAACATGTACTCTACTGATTCGGAGTAAGGAGATGGGGATGCGCTAATAACCCGATAAGGTAAATCTGACCGAAGATACATGGCAACCCCTCCCCCACCCCTCCCAGTTCTATCGTTACGCACTAAAACAAATCCCGGTAAGGCATAGTGAGTAGATAAGAGAGAAGGTTTAAGGAAAGATTCAGAGATAAGAAGGACATCGAGGTGTGCATTGCTAAAGGTAGCCAGAAGATCAGTATAGTGGCCAGGAACACTCTGAGCATTAATATGAGCGATATTTAAGTTTGTAGGGTAGGACGAAAAAATATTGGTTAAGTTATCATGCAAAGTAAGTGGTTGGGAACTATCGCTATCGGCACTAACAAAGCTTGACGAAGGAGAGCGTGTAAAGAAACTGTCATCGAGACTCATTAACCCATCCATGCAAGTACAGTAATAAATAAATAAAATAATTATAGTAAAAAAATAATATAAGTACAAAAACAAAAAAAATATATAAATAATGTGCAAGCGCCTATTCGGTTGCTATGTAGTTGCATCAACAACCTCCTCCACTTGCCCAACACGTTACTACGTGTATGAAAATGTGAAATAACAATACGTAATTATCAGCGGTTTATACAGCAGGAATAAAGAGCAACATAACAATGAGCGCAAGCAACAACAAAACGTAACAAACTGACAATCATAATGAGTGAAGCTACTGAGTATGACATAAACGCTTGACAATGACAGGAACAATGAATGACATGACATAAGTGACAGGTGACACCCGGCATAACAAAATCAACACAATTATTAAAGTGATTAATTTCGAGCTACCGACTAAAAGGAAACACAAGTATAATTACGTTGAATGTGGAGATGGTACCGACACCGAGTATGAATCACCACCAGACGATAAAATGCGGATGAAATGTCATAATAAATATTGGATTTATTTACCGCGGGCACACACACCTATTTGCGGCGAGCATTACGCGTCCTCCGCAGGGTCTTGGGCAGCGAGTCACTAGACGGTTCCGCAGCCACCATGAGGTCCTCACCATCGGATGGGCAACGAGGGAATTTGGCCATTAGCTTCTCGAGTTGTGACATATGTTCCAGCTTGTGTCGTGACTTGTCTGGCGCAATTACCACTATTTTGCCTTCCACCGACCAGCAATTGGTTATGCCAAAGTATTTACGAGCGGCAATGAAGGTACGGTGACGCATTTGCGTTAAAAACTCCGAAATAGTGATGCCGGTGCCCTTCAAGGACTTTTTGTTGTCCCACACGAGGTGCCGGTCCTCCGTAGTGAAAAAGCGCACAAGTATCGGCCTCGGGCTACGGTTAGCATATCCCAGTCTATGGCACACGTGAATATTTGCTTTGCCTACCTCGGACAACTTCATACGGTCGTGCAGGACTGCAGTGATGACCTCGGGTAACTTCTCCTGCCTCGCCTCAGGTACACCGTGGACTAGCAATACCTTCCTCCGCATTGCAGTTTCATGTCTGTCGTGGCCCTGTGATAGCAGTTCGATCTGCGTCCCAAAACAATTAAGTGCGTCTAACACAAACTGCTTGAACTCGCAGTATTCGGCACGCAACCCAGCGATGTCAGCGGGAGGCACATCTGCAGCAGTGGCCCGGTCAAGCTTCACTTCATGGGCAGTCATTCTTGATAGGAGCAGTGCCTTCATCTCCTCAAGGCTCGCTGTCAGTTTAGATTCCACATCCATACTGTTGAGATTTGCTTGAAATCACAAAATCTTAAAATATTTATTGGAGAGGCTTAATGGTAATTGTAGGCAAGTAGAGGGGGTCCAGGACACAGTTGATGTATTAATACATTAAATTAGTGCAGTAATTACAATTAATATTAATTAAAATCGACAAAGTGAACACAAGCAACTGTTTACACTGCGTCTACCCACAACTTTTTGTTATTTAAAATGATAGATTATTGTATCTTTAGAAACAGATTGCTAAGTGGCAGTAAATATGTTGTTTCTAAATAATATACAAAAATTGACTGCTTTTTGAAATGAATTAAGAAATCTTGGGTCTTATGACCACACTTGAAAGCTAAATTTAATGACACAAAAAATGAAATAACATTATTGACTCAAAAACCAGAAACACAAAAATATAGAAAAAACAAAATTAAATGTATTTTGAAAAGAAAATGGCAATGTGGTCAGCCCTACTAAAAGACAAATAAAATCCAGCTACATTTATATTGAATACCATCTCTAATTAAAGCTAAATTGTCGTCACAAGAAACAGAGATACTCCCTCCATCTCTTTCTTTTAGCAGATTTCTCACTCCAACGTCGCAAAACAATCAATTTTAAAAACAACATTCTTTTATAAGCTGTAGATCTCAAAGTTTCATTACTAAGCATACCAATAATAATAATACGTATATACAGACGCATTTACTGAGCAATAACTAATTTTTATTCATTCTTGTATATATTTTATCAAGTGGTACTTTTAGTGCCAGTTGATAAATTGACTGTGTATTAGTTGAAACTCATTTCAATAGGTAAATTGTTGATATATTTTAATATTACTCATTAAATGAAATAGTGACAAAGTCACTTTGTTCAGTTATCATAATGTCGAGCGATTAATGTTTGTTCAGTTTTGTCGTTATCGAGTGAGACGATTCTCTGTAGCAGATTATGATTTAATTTCTTGCCTTTTGTTGTATGAGCAACCTCCTTTGGCGATGGCGACACATTTCTGTAATGAAATACATTCATCAATAAGTAAGTATAAAAATAAATATAACAAATTGTACTCAGTTTCTATCAAAAACGAAGTTTAACTCAAAGATGGCAAGGAGAACGTATAATTATGTATTATTAAGTTTTAACATGGAACTACGACTATTCTAGTCCATTTCTACATACATTCGGTAATTTAAAAATATGGATTTAGTTAATAGTTATATGAAGTTCACACAAATATAATTATTATTACTTTATTCATCACTACATTATTCTTCTTTACATAGTAGGACAACGCCTGAGCGTTTCCTACCAAAATTTTAAGAGAATATTTTTACACAAACCTCTCCCGAAGCGTCATACTCCTGTCCATTAGGGCAATGCATCTGTATGCCGTATCCTTCAACGCATCGGAAGAACTTATCACAGTTGTTAGGGTCTGCCAAAAAGCGGTCCTCGTTGTCAGGGCACATGAAGTTTACTGTGGTCTTCCACGCTTCTGTGGTCAACTTAATTTTCGCTTCTGTCTTCTGACCTGAGCGCTGTGGAAGCGTACATTTTCCTTCACCGAAAGGCACGCATACCTGTAAATAAAGTAACGTTGCTATTAATATCTTCAATATTCAGTTCATAAAAGTTTTCCCCTACAAAAGTCTCTAGTGTGTAAAATTCGTTGTATAACACTACTACAATGCACTGTTTACTTAGGAATTAAACCTTTGACGGCCGACAGAACATTTGAAGGCAAATCCTCTATCAACACCCGCTACCAGTGACCCAGGACGTCTTAGAGCCTTAACATTATTTTACTAATGTACATACCCTGGTTTCACGATCAAATTCGAGTCCTTCGCTGCAAGTAAACAGTAAAGCGTTGCCACCGGAGCATAAGTAGAAAATTTCGCATCTGTCCGGGTGAGGTACGTTGCCAAACATGTCTGAAGCACAGATCGGAGCCTCCGTGGTAGTGCCGTAGGTTGTAGGCAATGTTGTCGTTTCGTAATCAATTGTTGTTGATCCTTCAGTTGGTACATCATCTACGTCCGAGCTAGTGCTGCTGGCAGCAGTAGTCGTAGGCTCCGATGTAGACGTCACTCCACGTTCAGTGGTTGTAACGACATCACCAGGAAGGAAGTCATCTGGATCTCTTTCTGTAGTTGTGTCAGGCAGTTCAGAGCTTGAAGTAGTTGTGACATCTACGGCTGGGGTCGTTTGAGATCCGAGCGTGCAGCCTCCTTCAGCGATCCTGACACATTCCTGCAAATTTGTTGTGTATTAATATCATGTTTTCTAAGATTGCAGTACCAATTCTATCTAAGTTTGAAGTATACTTACTCTCACATTAGGATCGAACTCAAAACCTTCGCTACAGAAGCGCTGGACAGCCTGGCCTCCTGTGCACGAGTAGAACGAGTTGCACAGTTCAGGGTGGGGTATGTTAAGATATTGGCCTTCTGCGTATATTGGCGGGTCAGCAATCGTAGTAGCTCCTGTGGTAGTTGCAGATTGGAACGTGCAGCCTCCTTCAGCGATCTCTACACAGCCCTGTAATAAACCAACCATGTTCGTTATTTGAAAGGTACGTTAAGTCTACTTTATTTTTTACTTTACAAAGACACTATTTATCTATCGACACAGAAGAGCTGCATAGGTTTGTCACCATCACAAATGTAGAATGAGTTGCACAGCTGTGGAGGGAGTATAGTTCCAAACACTCCTACACAAATTGTTTCATCCAATGCTGGCGCTGAGGCTGTCGCAACGTTAGCAAGAGTTGTGCTAGAGACAATATTTTCAGTTGTTGATGGCCCCTCAGGAGTAGTTGCTGAACCCAGAGTACATCCACCTTCAGCTATGACCACGCATGTCTGCAAAAATAGTTAAACATTTATACTAATGCGATATGCATTAAACGCGGACTTAACATATCTCTAACTACATTTATTTGTTTAGTGTGCCATCCGGTGTAGTGACGGGTCCTGTGGTGGAACCAGAGCCGGCTTCGGCTATAACCACGCATGTATACGGAGAGAGGACATAAAATTAAATGACAGTTTTATAGAGAGATGAAGGCCTTAAACAAACTTTTGAAAACTTGATAATGAACTTCTATCCAGCCGTTTCCAAGCATTAATCAGACTTATAAAGGGTAGTAACTGGTCTACTTAATGAAGACTTTCTTGATAATGTGCTAATTTATAATTATAAATATTGTTTACCTTATGTTTAGGATCGAATTCGAAGCCTTCAGTGCAGAACAGTTGGATTGCGTGTCCTCCTGTGCATGAATAGAATGAGTTGCACAGTTCTGGGTGGGGGACATCGCCCCACGTGCCTGGAAGACAGTTGGGGTCTACTGTGGTTGTTTCTGGCGGAGTGGTCGAAGTCGAACTAGTCGTCGGTGCCAAAGTTGTAGTTTGGCTCATTGTGCTGCCTTCCTCAGCGATGGGGACGCAAGACTGAAAACATTTCACTCTTAGTTTCATCCATCGACTTTACTTTATAAACTACTTCACTATAATAATAATAATTTTGTCAATGTTTTTGCTATCATTTAAGACTTTTTCCAAGTGCAACTGCCATGCAGACAGTTCTTCTTTTGGCTGTTGATGATGACGATGTATGGATGGAGGTATTATATGGGCATCCAAGGGCGACGCCGATTGCTTGCCATCCAATGATCCGTCTGTTCGTTTACCGGTTTATCGCATAAAAAACTAATTACTGACTTTTGACTTTTTCGACATGCACTTATTAATATTTAATGAAAAAAGCGAACGACAAATTGATAAAGACTCAAAAAATATCTTACCCTGACCGTAGCATCAAACTCGTAACCACTGGCGCAGTACGATTTGACTGCAACTCCACTAACGCATAAGTAGAAAGCATTATATTCGTCTGGATGGGGGACATTCCCGTAAGCGTCCGGAGGACAGGGACCATCATCCTCTGTTGTTGATCCTTGTGTTGTGGTGGACACGGTTGTATCGTCACCAGTTGTTGTTGATCTTTCCGTGGTCGTGCATCCATCGGGAGGTGTTTGTTCTCCTGTTGTTGATCCTTGAGTTGTTAAGGACATAGTCGAATCGCCAGCAGTTGTTGTTGATCCATCCGAAAGTGTTGGTTCTCCCGTTGTTGTTGATGATCCCTGTGGAGAAATGTGTTGTCGTAAAGTGAACATTAATGTTGGTAGCTAAGTCTTATTTTTCTAAGAAATAGCGACAGATAAAAGTAGTTTAATTTAAGATGTGGTTTATATTTTATGGATTATGTATTATGATTAAATCTTTGTCCAAATGGTAATTATTTGCCGTAGCCTCTAATGCCCAATTCACACATTGCAAGAATTTTATTCGTATAGTTTTATTTGTATAGTGATATTTTCAATCCAAAGTTACACATACCTTTAAATAATTTTTCCCATCTTTCCCTAGATGATGTAAGTTATGCACGATAATTTATTATTACTAAAATAATTGAAGATTCTAACTATACTTGTTCCTACTCTTATCTGGCACGAAATTATTCAGTTTCTTTTTTTACTTTGGGACATAATTTTTGTATTCATCATTAAGGTAAAAATATGTATCGTTTTTACCTGAATAGTGCAATCGAAACACATTCCAGTGGTGCAAGGAATCAAAACTTTTTGTCCCCTGCAGTTTTCCTCCCCATTTACAGTGATTGAGCCGGTCACTTCATTGCTGTCCGTGGTCGTCTGCATAGTTGTAGTCGATTGGAAGCCGTCCGGTGTAGTGACGGGTCCTGTGGTGGAACCAGAGCCGAGGGTGCAACCTCCTTCGGCTATAACCACGCATGTCTACGGAGAGAGGACATAAAATTAAATGACAGTTTTATAGAGAGATTGGATTCTAATTACGGATGGCAACACCAGCCAATGTGTCAACAATACTCTGCTGCTTTATTTTAAAATTAAATTATTTTTTTATGTTTAGGCGCGAAATAGTAAAGTTAATACACTTGACCAGTAGTGCAAAAATTTTGGTAATGTTATGACAGTGGACAATTACGTCTTTAAGTACATAGTAACAGTGTTTGTGGAGTACAAAGGAACTTTGTGTATACTGAGAACTAAGGATAATTACGGTAAATACTACATAATAAATAAATATATTATAACACAAATAGTGTTTGCAGTGACGTTTTAATAATCAAAAGTGTTAAAAAGGGAAAATAACATAATAAAGTCAGTTATAAATTCGAACAGTGCAAAATTTCTAATGTAAACATTAACCAGCTGATTCATCAGTCAAGCAATCACCAATCACAAGACAGCATTAACATTTTGACGCTAAAATATTCGTTCGGAAACTGTCAATAAAAACTTTTTGTTGTTTGAACACTGGTCTTTTGAGA